GAATAACAGGGTGGTTGAAGCTAGTCCAATTTTTCGAATGAATAAGTGGGATTTACACTTTCTTAGCTTTTAAAAAGTTGTTGGGGGCCAGCCTGTTGGCGTAGTGGTTAAGTTCACATGCTCTGCTTTGGTGGCCCAGGGTTTATGGGTTCAGATCCCAGGCGTGGACCTATGCACAGCTCATCAAGCCATCCTGTGGCAGTGTCCCACATACAAAATAGAGGAAGATTGGCACAGATGTTAGCTCAGGGCCAATCTTCCCTACCAAAAAAACAAACAAAACAAAACATTGCTGGGTAAAGAGAGATTCTCGATTCTCTCTCTGTAGCAGTGGTTCTCAAAGTGTGGTCCGTAAATCCAGCGGCATCACCTGGGAAGTTGTTAGCAATGTAAATTCTCTGGGTCTGCCCCAGATACTGAAGTGGTAACTGTAGAGGTGGGGCCAGCAATCTGTGTGCTAACAAGCTCTCCCGGAGATGTTGATGTACACTACAGTTTGAGAACCACCAATCTACAGCAATAACTCCCCAAACTTCAGTGACCTAAGAATCACTTACAGAGCTGATTAAAATGCAGATTCCCAGACCTCATTCTTAAAGATACAGATTCACTTGGTCTAGGATGGGCCCTGGGAGGTCTGCCTGGTTAACCAGCATCCCAGGGTGATTTGGAGGCAGGGGTCCAGGACCCAAGCTTAGGGAAGCACTGACCTATATAGGCAGGGGCTGTAGAAATTTCCAACTATACTCCAGACCTATTCGGAGACTCTCTTTGTGGCTCAGAATGAGCAGGTACCACAAGTCAGCTTCCTTCCCCAGTCATTCCGTGAAGCTGGCTGCTAGGATTACCTGTTGCGGCAGGTAGTTCTTTTCAAGATTACCCTAATACTAGAAGGTTAGACTGGCTCCATCCGTTCCTCTCACGCTGACATCTGAAGCACTTTGCTAACTCCTAACCTGGGTTGGGCTCACCCTGCTGGCCTGGAAGGGAAAGCTTTTTATCCGTTTACTTTCCTTGAACCACAGTGCAGGACACAGCTAGGTTTTCCCAGGAGTTTTATTTTGCACAGTTGATGCATTCCGGTCATTGTTGGGATGTGTTTTCCTTCTCTTCTTTCCCTCCAGCCCTGGCACTATGCTGTACGTGCGTGTACAGCCTCCCGGGGTGATCATCCTCAATCCTGACCCTCTCTCCCAGCAGCTGTCTCTTCTACCAGGCCCTTTGCTCTGCAGAGCTGTGCTACCAAAATCGCTATCAGCTCAGTCTCCCAGCTCAGAGAAGGAGCTGCCACATCTCAGATGTCGACTCTAGTTGGCCTCCTGCTTTCCTGGCTTTGTCTCCTGTGTCCCTTTAGACTTCTTACCACCCAACTTTTCTGCTGTTCTAAGTGTCTCTCAGGGCTCTTTCTTGACTCTCCACTAATGGAAAACAGTATTTTTCATGTGGGTTACTGTGATCTATTCTCAACAGACTGTTCCTCCAGTCAGTCTTTGGCACCCTGCAGAGATGGTTCTCCTTTGTCTCCAGTCACTGTAATGGGTGAGGTCCTAGTAGAACGACTGTGTACAGTTGTGCAGTTTGTGCACTGCACAAAGACACATGAGGAAGGGAGCAAGTGTGAACTAAAATCCAGCTTGCACTCTGCTCACCAAGATGAGGGCCTGACACAGTGCGGTGGACACCTGGAGGAAGATGCACTGGGGTTTTTTTATGACAAATATTTACATAAATACATAGTTACCTTAGATTATCAACTGAGACTAGATTAACGTGTTTTATTGTCCTCTCATTGTCTATGTGAAAATGAAGACTTTTAGAGTGAGTGGAAATTTTTTTTGGGAAATAATTAATTCATCGATTTTATCTCTTAGAGAAGTTTTAGGTTTACAGAAAAACTGAGCAGAAAGCACAGAGAGTTCCCATCTACTCCTACCCGCTCCTTCCCACCCTACCTCCAGTTTCTAGTCATTAACTCGTGCAGTGGTGTGGAACATTTGTTACAACTGGTGAACCGATATTGATACATTATTATGAACTAAAGTCCATAGTTTACATTAGGGTTCACTTTGGTGTTGTACATTCCACAGGCTTTGACAAATACACGACATGTATTCACCATTTTTGTATCATACAGAATAGTATCACTGCTCTAAGAAATCCCCTGTGTTCCCCATCTCTAGGTCCTGGAAACCACGGATCTTTTTACTGTTTCATAGTTTTGCGGAAGGTACACGTTTTCCTTTGTACAAGGGAATATCCACCAGCTAAAACCACAAGGATGCTTCTGCCCAGAGGCACACCATTTTTAAAATTTAGCCAATGCCTTGAGTTTGAGATGAAACCCAATTCAGGATCTTTCCCTCGGCCACTTCAGTGTATCTCAACCCCCTCGTGTCTCCGTATCTTATACATCCTTTTGTTGGTAAACATTTCCATATGCTCTTCTTTCTCCCATTCATCCCTTCCGCCCCTTCTCCAATGCAACTTCTAGGTCAGTGCTCTCACAAAGAACTCTCTCCAATGATGAAAATGTTCTACATCTGTACAGGCCAATACTATAGCCACCAGCTGCATGTGGCTATTGAGCACTTGAAATGTGGCTGGTGTGATGGAGGAAGTGAATAAAACTCTGTTTAATTTAAATAATTTCAACTTAAATACCCCGCATTTAGTGGAAAATTTCTACTGTCCCTGGATGTGTAGGTCAGCGCTTCCCTAAGCTTGGGCCTTGGACTCCTGCGTCCAAATCACCCTGGGATGTTTATTCCTAAGGCAGACTTCCCAGGGCCCATCCTAGACCAAGTGACTCTGTATCTTTAGGGATGGGGTCTGGGAAGCTGCATTTTAATCAGCTTCCCACAATACCTAGTCGCTATTGTATGGGACAACACAAGGTTAAGTTTTTCCCTATGCCGGATGACCCTTTCTGATAGCATTTATAAACTTTCCCCATAGCTCATACTTGAAATCCTCCCCTTCCCCTTGAACCTTCCTTGACTAATTAGAAAAGAAACAATTCTGCCTGACACCATTGTTGAAATACACAGCTCCCGAGTCTGTCACATTTATCACCATCAAATATGCATATATTCTTCCCTTTACATGTAACGTTAAGATATCTTGTAAAATTTAATTTATGTAAAATTTCTTCCATGTTTCTTGTCTCTATGTTTTTATGTCTCCCTCTGTTAAATGTCTTCTGTTCCAAAGTCTATACTCCTAGAAAACAGAATAGAATTACAGAACTAACGCTTTAGTTGGCAATAACTACAAGCCATTGTTGGTGGGTTAGTACATGCCATTTACAGGACTGTGGTGCCACATTTAAGGTACAAGAGACAGAGAAGAGAAGAAACAATAATATCAAAAGAAAGTAAGAGTTTCAGTCCAGGAGTCAGCGTGCAATAAGTAAGGAGCCATGGACTGTGGCTCTGGAGACTGGAGTTCTAAGCACATCTGTGCCACCAGCAGGCCCATGACATTGGTCATATCACTTAACCTCTCAAGGACTCAGCTTTCTCCTTCTAGAATGCAGGGTTTTGACCAGATGCTCCAATTCAAGATGTCTCCTAGACTGAAATGCTCCTTGGGTCAAAAGTAGTCTGGGAACGGCTAGGAAGAGGAAACAAACTTTTGTCACACAGAATATTTCACACAGTTCCACCCCCGCCACCCGCTTCCCCAGCTAGCCATGTTTGTGATGAACTCATCAACTTTGCTAAGGACAAGACTCAATATTTTAAGAACCAGCAAAACCCAGTTCAGAGTGAGTCATTGGTCCTGACTACAGTGGCTAACTGACCACAAAAGTTTGTGAATAGTCTATATAGGATCCTTAAAACATCTGCACAAACCTTTTATTTCCAGTGCTTTGAACAGAAATAAACAAAGCTTTTAATCCAAATTCTACATTCCACAACACAGATGAGAAGTTAGAGTATAAGCATGGACTTCCTGGCTCAGAATCTCTTGCCTGCTTGCCATGTGAGGGGTCGGTTCAGTGCCTGGTCTCTGTCATACACTCAGGAGGAAATCTTTGCGTATAAAAATAGGGTGAGTTGTGCTAAAGTAAAATCCATGTTCTGGAACTCTTAACGTGCACGTCATTACCTCTCAAGCCTCTGAGCTAAATGATTTGCTAACGGCAACTAAAATGTGACATGCCCCAGAGTAAAAGAATTGATTCCTAACTTGGAAGAGTCTGAGTAGATTGTCCTCAGCCAAGTGCCTAAATATTTTTCCTTTCTCTCCCTAAACCTTGCTTCTGCTGCCCCGGGTGTAGACTAGGAACTGGGTTGTGATGACTAAATGAAACGAGGGCATAGGCCTGCAAACCTTCCCTTCAGAGTCCTGGGCACCATTGCAATTATACATTTGTTTATGTCATCACTTGACTACTGTCTCTCTTTGCTGGACTGCAAATTCCAGGGAGGCAGAGATTCTGTCAACTTGTGCTCAGAGTTTGGCATGTAGTAGAAATCAACAAAAATCTTTTGAATGCAACACGTAAGCCGTTCGCAGTCCCTGGAGTCAAATCCCTGGGCTGGGAGCCTGTGTTCTTGGACAAGTGGCTTCCCAGCCTATGTCTTAATTTCCTCTTCTGCAAAGGAAGGTAATAATGGCATCTACTTGATTGAATAATCATGAGAATGAAGTGAGACAATACATGCAAAGAGCTTAGGACAGTGTCTCATACATAGTGAGGACTCAATACATGTTAATGATTTTTGATGATGATGATGATGGTTGATGTGTAATAAGCACTTCGTAAATGCAGTTCTTCTTATTTACTATTGTTATTGAAAGAGTATTTGCCTTTTGAAGTATCAGTTATATAGAGATGCTCAATTGCCTATATCATAACAAGACCAGTGCTTTACCTTTACATGCTATGCCAGGCACAGGGGCAGAGACAGCGTGTCAAAGGAGACACCAACATATTCACGATGGTACATGGGTCTCTAGGATCCAAGTTACAAAACGTTTTCCTGCCTTCCTAGATTCATCCCTCTCTTGACTCCTGGTATTTGGCTAATCCTCCTGAAAGTCCCAAGCTTGCAAATCAGCCCCCGCTACAAGATCTGTCTCTACACATCACAGGTAAAGAATGCTTTTTTGCAACCTGCTGTCTTGTGGAAATAGTTTATCTCCAGAAGGTAAATGATAGAAACCTATCTTCCTATATTCAGGACAGGAAGGGAAAATAGAAAAGACTTGAAGCTAATTCTAGATCCTGCATTTACTAACTGAGTCACCTCTGGTAATTTACTTGATTATATCTCAGAATAATTACCAGTTAGGTGAGAATAATTAATATTTATTCTACCTCCTGGGCTTATGAAAATTATCTGAGATAAATATGTAAAGGACCTAGTCCCAATTAAGATGAGGGAGTTTCTAAATTGTGCAAAGTAGAAATTTTGCCACCCCCCTGCCCCTTCCAACTCTAGTCATTCGGAGTTTTCAAATTGATCTGGGAGATGTGAATAAGGGCTCTTTCCTTTCTGTAGGGACTTTCTTTTTAAGTGGTGGGGCTACTTCCTGTCTGAGAACAAAGGATTGGGGGAAGAATACACACACACACACACACACACACACACACGCACGCGCGCGCACGTTTTTGTTTCTTCTTTGTCTTCTGACTCTAATTTGTAAATGAAATTTGAATAATGCTATAATTCCATTGCAGTATTTTCCATATACTGTTCTTAATGAAATAAGGTTAGCAAATCTTATCCTTACCACCTCCCTTAACTTTCTGCATTTAATGACACCGGATTTGAATTTTGTGGCATTTTCAGGAAAAAGGCATATAATTGGAGATTCAATTTCATCTATTTGAGAACTAACTGTTGAAGTTTAGTTATTTTTAGTAGGCAAAATCACTTTGATCCATTTTACTCTTTTTTTTTTTTACAATTAAGGAACACTCACTTTAATATTCATAGTTCTTTGAAGTATAACACTATGCATTACTATTTCTTGTTTAAACATGATCTAGCGAAATCCATAGTTAACTTGTAGGAAAAAATGGGAGGAAGGGTTAGCACTAACCTGAAAGAAGACAGTATCCCAAAGAACATACTTGTAAAACATGAAACGAGGATCATAGATCTCAATGTAAAAGCATAATAAATACTAAGAAACATATGCATCATCTGATCTTTTCTAATCTGATGGGCAGACTATGTAAAACATTGCTAACCTATAGATAGGTGATTGATTAGACAGAACCTAGTTCTAAAGAAAAATTTTCAGGCAAATTCCCAAGTTCAGCTCTTAATATACTTTTTGTTTTATTAGAAGCTGTCCCTTTCCTGAACACTGAAGGGACAAGCTCTGAGAGGTGTGTGATTAATCCATAGACATCTAAGGCCTTTTTAAAAAGGCACTCAAGGACCTCAGCAAATATAGCCTCTGAATTTTGTAAATATTCTATTCCTAACTTATTTGTTTGAGCAAAATCAGATGTCCTACTAACAGCACAAACTAGATACAACTTTTAACCTAAAAAAAACACGTAGGAAAGAAAAAATGTGCTTTAGAATTTAATTCGAATTGAAAATTCGTTTCCTTTCTGTGTAGTATTGACTTTTGTGGGGCTTTTCAACAATGAGTTTGGTTAAAAATATTTAAAACGACGAAGAGTCATTGGAGAGTCTCATATTATGCTGCGTACGTGTTCTTCACGTTAACATCATTTCCCTCGAGCCCTTCCCCTCATCAGGACTCACCTCCTGATCAGAGAGAAACTGCTTGGCTGTGTAGCCCTGAGAGTTTGGTTCCCAGAAGACAGATGCTGGTCTCCGAGTTCTGGAACTTTCGACCTGTGTGACCTTGGGCTTCTGAACCTCAGTCTACTCATCTGCAACAGGATACTCACTTCACAAGGTTGTTGTCAGAACTAAATTGGATAGTGGAGATTTTGTAAGCAAGAGAATGCTTTCCCTCACAGCCCCCAGTTCCAGTTAACTTTCACTTTGATATAATTTTGCTATAGATCAAAAAGTAAAATGGGCCTTGGGGCAGGTATAAATGAGTGGAGTCAGAATACAGATTCCAAATTCTACTGTAGCCCCTGAGAAGGAACAGAAGGCAGGGTCCATCTCCAGGCCAGGGCCTTTGAATCCCTGCCCCTAACGTGGGCCCAAGTATGTAGTAAGCCCTAGATGTGTGTGTGCTTTGGTGGATTTGATAGAGATAAGGCACCCTGGTTAGAATGAAGCTGGTACAACTAGAAGATGTCAGAGAACGATGGGTTAAGAGTAAAGGATGGGAGTCAAGCAGACTGGGTTCAAATTCCAGCTTTGGATTGACTGGACAAAAGGGCCTAATGTCTCTGAATCTGGGTTTAAATCTGATCATTCTTCTCCCTGTCCACCCCACCCAACACACATATACACACAGACATGCACTCACACAAAACAATGACAACAACTACCACTCTGAATGGCTTTGCATTGCCTTTAGGATAAAGCCCTGAGCATGGCCCCCGAGATCTGGTCCCCCTCGCCATTCTATCCCTGGTTCCCTCAGCTCCAGCCACAGTGGCCTTTTTTCCAGTCCCTCAGAAATGCTATCCGGCACTTTCTTGCTCCCATGTTATTCAACAACATCCATGTCTCCTGCCTGGAATGATTTTCACGCCCCGTATCAGTACGGCCTTCCCCGTTACCCGAATGTCTAGGCTTAAACATCACTTTCTCCATAAGATTTTTCCTCCCATCCCCAGCTGAGTTACAGCCCCTGTTGTATGCTCCTTAGTTTCCCTCTTTCTTTATACTCACTGTGCTGTGATGTCTCTTTTCCCCATTAGACTCCATGAGATGTCTGTGTGTGTGTAGAGGGCGAGGCCAAGGTGGGGTTGGGGGGAGTATCAGGGCCACTTTTTTCACTACTGCACTCCCAGAGTCTAGCCCAGTGGCTGCTCATAATACTCACTCACCAGATGTGTGAAGGACTTACTCTCAAGAGACTAATATCTACTCATAAGCTTGTGAGGGTAAATGAGATGATGTATACATAGTGCTTAGCACAGCTTTTGGCACATGGTAAATGTCTCAGTCAGTGGTGGCTATTATTATTAACAAGAATGTTTAAGTGAAGATTGTCTTTCATTTCTAAGTTCTTTGGTGGGCATTTCTCCAATGGGAGAGAGAAAGGAAGATAAGCAATCTGCCATTTTGTGCCCATTCTTCCGAATACTATTGGAGAGTTTTAGAGCAGAACGAGATGAAACACTGTGCCAAACCTAAAATTGGAGCCAGCATAGAAAACTGCTTTGATGTAATGGTTCTAGTGTAATTGTATGTTTGAGTGGGCCTCGGGTATGGCTATGCTCCAGGTGCAAAAACATCCCAGTGCGTCAAACAGATGTTACCAGTTTGGAGAGTTTTTTTTTTCAACAGAAATATGATCCATGCCTATAGAAACCTACATGTTAGCACTTGAAAAATATCATATAAACATAAAATTTGCAAAAGATAATTATGGGATCTACATGAAAATCTTAGACCTGAGTCGTATACCTGAGTAATAAAAGGTGAATACAGTACCTACAGCTGGAATTTTAAGATGGGATTTCCATAATGGAGATCAGATTACGTAAAATTTGGTGTGTTAGAGTTGCATCTTCTTTTATTAAAAGAGTATAAATAACTGTGACATTTCTTTTATTTTCAACTGACCAGGTCTCTTAAGTTACAAACTTTGCTGAACATCTAACATGGACTGGATAGATGCTAATGAGTCTTAGTGTCGGAAACAACTTCATGAGTCAAAGGAATGAAGTCATAATGCTGGTATGTCATGTGTCGGGACTGATGTTTTTAAATGGGAACTTTTAATTCCATCTTCTAAGACTAGTTCAAAATTTCATGAGACGGTTGGGAGGAATGAAGGGACATTTGGGAAGAGGAAGGAAACCTGACCAGCTTGTACCTCTTCTAAACTATTATCCCTCTACTACTGGTAGCCTGAGACTGGCTTTTCTCTGAGCATCCCTGATTGAGCTTCTGTTAATAGACTTGGTGTATCAGTTAGGGATGTGTTTGGCTGCAAGTAAGTGAAAACCCAAAACAGTAGCTTCAACAAATAGGGGATTATTTTTCACACATTACAGAAATCCAGAGTTAGCTGGTTGTTGGCACCTATTGTTTATAGCTCACAGTGCCATGAGCTACATGGCATTCTCTCTTTCTGCTCTGCTATCCTTAGTGCCTCATGGTCCAAGATGTTCCCAGATGTTTTTTGTAGTTCAGATATCCTATCTGCTTTGAAAGCAGGATGAGAGTGGTGTCTCTGTCTCCTTTTAACAGGCAATCAAAGGCTTTACTAGAACTCCCAAGTAAATATCATCTACTTAAGTCTCATTGGCTAGGAAAGTGCATATTTAAATGGACAAGTGTTTAGTGAGGAAAAAGAGGGAAGAGGATATTGGATAAGCAACTAACAGTGATGCTACACTTGACTTAGTCTTCACACTATCCTGGTTGCCCATGGGAAGTAGCGAAGGGGATTGACTGACCTAGGTGATCAGTCATGCTCTCTTGGCAGGGAATGGGTGAATAAGTAAAGATTGACAGGTCATTTTTGGTGGCTTCCAAATTCATAATAGCTCAGCTAGCAAGGGAACTCACTAGTAATATTTTGCTATTGACTTCAGAAATCATGATGTTATTTAGAATAAGGGAGATAGCCATTCTGAGCCCAGCTAGATGCTTTCCTATACAGAATATGGGCGACTAAGTGACCATTCCCCATGGTTCATTGGTGACTCTGTATGATCGTATATCCCTGTACTCTAGAAATAGCTGGGCCTTTGTGATGTCCAGGCCAGCAGACAGTCTTTTTGTCAAATCGAAAAGAGGCCTGAAAACTCCCATTCCATTCCATTTGCAGAAGCCACCACAGCATTTCTTCTTCCGACCCTAATGGGAAGCACATGGAGATCATTGAACGTTGGGAGCCCTTCTATGCTCAAATTATGTTTTTCAAGCAAGGGCTATGATAAAGTAACCTCCAAACATGACCCTGGCAAAAGTCAGTAGCCTTGTTTATTCTGGCCACGTTCCTGGTGCAACCCAGGGTTCTGGGAAGATTTACTTTAATTACAACCTCTCTCGCCCTCTTTCTCTCTCTTACACTCATGATCTCTTACATAACATGTATTAGAGTTACCAAAACTGAAAATTTTATTCTTGAGCTAATTAGATGGATGTAATTTGTACTTGCTTTCTTTTCTTTTAGAAGATCTGGTCAAATTAGCATGTTGTACTCTTTTTCTAAGGTACACATAAATTCTCTTTCTTTAGTTCTTATGTTTCAGTGAAACTTTCATCTTTCTTTTCTGTGGCAAAGATGATAAAGAGACTGATGGTATCTTCTAAATTTCCTTTAGACATACAATATCCTAAGAAGAATGCTTTTTAAAGAATTTTCTTGGTATACTAATAAGTTCTCATGAGAATTGCTTCATTTCCAAAAAAGTTTTGCGTGGAGCTTAAAATTCACATTAATTAACTCAAAACATATTGGTCGATACTAGAGACACTACATTCTCCATGAGTCATGAAAATATTAGCATTCATTAGAATACCAGATCAAAAAAAGTGTTTTCAATTGTGCCTTATTACTTGCCACAAAATGTGTAAGTCATAATCTTTGCCTTCAGTTCAACAGCAGCTCAACAGAGCAAAAGTTATGCATGTGCACAGGCACTCTGCTCTGAGTAACAGAGGAATTGGACACCACCATACCTGCTCTCAAAGGAGTCTTGTTTCATTAAGAGAAAATCGACACATAAACAAGTAATTACAATGAGATGTGATAAAATACAATGATGAAAAGATACAGAGGGACAGGATTTAACTCTGTTGGATGATGGTGAAGAGAGGGCATTGGAGAGAGTTCAGAAGGAAGTGATGCCTGATGGAAAGCTTTTCTTGGTTGGAAGGTTGCTGAGGGAGTGGAGGAGGGCATTCTGGGCAGAAGGAAACCAAGCAGGGATGTGTGGTAAAAAAGGCAGGTAAGGAGTGATGAGAACCTGAACTAAGACAGCGCCAGTGGGGAGAGGATGGGGGATGAACTTGCAACACTCAAGAGGTAAAACCGAACACCTGGGCAATTTGATGTAGTATCTTCATAAAAGGCTACCAAAGATGAGACTTATTGTTGGTTCATCAAGATGATTTTGCTGGTATTCTTTTCAACAGATCACCTAATTTGAAGTAAAGTTTTGACAAATATGAGCATAATCTGTTTTCATTTGAATATTACATGTATGTGAATGCCAAAAGCTATATGCATAAATAGTATCTTTTCAAAGCACTTGTTCTTGGTACGTAGCAATGGACGAAGGGCAAAATTAGAAAATGACATAATATTTGGTAGGCATGGAGAAAAAACCAAACTGGCTTTCTCCCTCATCTTTAAGTTTCCTTTCTGCCTGCATGAAAGGGTCACTTGGCCACCTACCATGGTTTATTAGCAGAAAGGCTTTCCCGACTTTGCCTACGAATGGCCAAGCAATACAATGACTCATTCATTCATTCTGTTGACATGTTTGGAGTACTAATATGCTTGGAACCAAGGATAGAGAAATCAAGAAGTTGTGATCCTTGCTCATGAGAGAAAGGGGGGTGTAAACAGTTACTCTTAGTACAGTGTGACAGGCACTTTATTAGAAGTGGGGCCAGAATCCTGAGAGAATGCAGAGAAGTGAGCTAACTGCCTGCTGCCAACAGAAACACTTCACAAAGGAGGTGATAATAAAGCTTTGAAGGTTTCAAAGAATAGGGAAAAAAAGGACATGTGATGGCGTTTCAAATATAGGAATTATGGGAGATCATATTATTGTTTCCAATTATTTGCTCCATCTCCCTGTGAGAGGTTTATATTTCCCTGCCCCAATTAAGGTCACTTGGCCATGTGACTTGCTTTGGCTAACAAAATGTGAGTAGAAGTGTTTTATGTGACTCCTGAACAAAACCTTTAAGATCCATCATGATGTTTCAAAGTGTCTCTTTTCCCTCTGCCACATGAGAAAATCATTTTCAGAAAGGGGTGGCTCATTCAGTGTGGTCTCAGAGCAAAGAAGACTCTTGGAGTAGAACTGAAGCTAACCTTCAGGCAACATGTGATGTGAGCAAGAAAAAACCTGTGCTGTTGAAAACCACTGAAGCCTGGGGATGGTTGTTACAGCAGCATAACTTAGGAAAGCTGACTAATGCAGAAGTAGCACATGCAAAGGTGCAGAACTATGAATGGGTGTGGAGTGTCTGAAGAGTGGTAAGAAGTTTAGCTGGCCCAGAGTGTAGACTCAGCGTTTAGAGACTATGAGGCCAGAAATGAACCCAGAAAGTTAGTTGGGAACAGATTTTCGAAGGATCTTAAATGTCCTGCTAAGAAAGTTAAACATTATTCTTTAAACAGTAGAAAGCCCGTAGAAGCTGAGGAGTGACATGATAAGGTTAGTTTCTTAGGAAGATGATTATAATGGGAGTGGAAAGAGATTAGTACCAGGGAAATCAGCTAAAAAGTTGTTATGCTGCTAGTAACTCTATTATTGTGCATTTACTGTGTACCAGGCATTTTGTATCTATTTACCAAAGTAATCCTCACAACAACCCCATTTGGTGGGTATTATAATGATTTTTTAATAGATGAGGAAACTGAGGCATAGAGAGGTTAAATATCTTGGCTTGGTGACTCTACAAGAAGAGGTAGAGTTGGAATTCCATCCCAAGCCATCTGGACACCAGAATCCATATTCTTCACCACCACAGCACACTCTCAGAATCCAGGCATGGAGTAATCAACAGCTGAACTAAGGCAGGGCACCGAGATAGAGAAGGATCTCAAGACTCATGTGTCTGAGATTGCACAGAAGGTGGGTGTGACTTGGACCTTAAGGGTGAGAGAGATGGAGAGACAATGCCCCATTTTTTACTCGGGAGACTAAACAATTTGTGAAACAGTGAAGTAAACAGGGAAAATCACAACAAGTTTGGGAAGGAAAATGCAGAGTTTTGTTTGGGATACATCAATTTTGAGGCAAATATGCAGCACCAGGTGGAGACAACCTGTTGACAGTTAGAATGTAGTACTGAAGCTCAGAAGCAACGTGGGGTGGAGACAGATCTGGGTGGCACAGAAGGCCAGAGAGTAGACTAATTCACCCCAGCAGATGTAGAAAGTGAGTTAAGAAGAGGGCCAAGGGCAGGATTGGAAGAACCCCATTATTTAAGGAGTAGCTTTCTGAGGAGGAGCCAGGGAGAGACTGAGAGGCAATGATAAAGGAGGGAAAAGAGTCAGAGAACAAAGGATGGATTTCAAAAAGGTGTTCACCACCAGTGACTTAAAACTGGAAAAACTGAGAGGTGACCATGGCCATCTCTGTTTGTGGCATAGCTCCAGCCCCATAATGACTTTGAGAAACAGGAACCTCTGCTTACACAGCAGTAGAAACATTGAATATCACTGACATCTTAGTGGAGGTGCAAGGATGAATTGGATGGAGGTCGAGAAAAAGTAGAAAATGTTTCCCCAGTCCTGACTCCCTTAGAGGTGAGCACTTTGATGCTTATTTATAGCTACAGAACTGCTTATGAACTTTTAAAATGACAAGTTCCCATAAATGGAAAAAGAAAGTACATTGCTCCAATTTACAGGAATTGCCAATTCCAAACATGGTAGTGAGAAAGATTTAAAAGTAAAACCTTTTCTGGAACACTCGCATACCTAGGAGAACTTGCTTACTAGATTCACTTCTTATGTCCTCTCTAGTACCGCTATTAGATCTTGACAGCCTATTACTTGTTAGTATAATATTAAAGATATTTGCATAGAATTCCCTAGGTTTTTTTGCTGACTTAGTAGAATATCAGGATTTTTTTTTAATATATGAATAGCTTGAAGCTACACTGAATCTATTACGCAATATTCTACTAGGAATATCCCACATGCATGCTTTGCAGTAGAGGAAGAAGAAAATATTGTTTTGTCTACAACACTAGTGGCGTCCTTATCCAGCGCACCTCAAATTGTTGAAGTGTGTTGAGACGGTGTTTGAAAAGGGTTCCGTGGAAACAAAGCTTAGAAACATGGGTTAAATGTTCTTAATTTTTTTTTTCCATTGCAGGATTTCTGAGAGCTGGTTTGCATTCTGTAGCTTCAGAGATGGATAGATTATGCAACAGTCCCCAAACTCATCTGACGACACATCTCCCCCTCCCATTTTTTTTTCAAGAACACATGACCTACTTTATCAAATGTCCTATGTGGTAGCTTCAAAAATACTTGCTGCTCCTTTCTGTAGTATCCTTTTTCTACAGCATTATCCTTCCCTACTCCTCTGGGCACAGGGGTGGTTATGTGACCTGCTTTGGCCAATGTAACATGACTGCAAGTGGCATGTGTCACTTCTGAGCAGACCCTTTAGGAACCAGCCTATAGTCTACCTATTCTTTTAACCCTCTGCTACAAGACCAGTTTTGTCCCAGAGAAAGATTGTGCCAATAGCCCAGAGTTATAGAGTGTCCTGTGATGGAAATGGAAAAGCATAAGAAAGAAATCTTTGAAGTCATAAGCCGTTAATATTTTAGGTTCATTGTTACCACAGCTAACTTAACTTAAGCTGACTATGTCTACCCCTAAGCATTTCTAAATTGCTTGAACCTTTCTACTTTTTACAGGTGCACTCATTTAGTCTCAATCTTACAAATGATGAGATGTTCTTTGAATCATCCTTTAGGTTCAGACAGTAACACTTGAAGATGAACTAGAAAAACACATATGAAACAGAACTCAAGGCAATGGTGCTCAAACTTTTGTATGCCTAGAAAGTTACCTGGAATTTTGTCCAAAATGGACATTCCCAGGCGAATTCCTAGAGATTCTGATTCAATGGGCCTGGAGTGGGTCCGAGAAATCTGAGTTTTAAACCAGCCTCCCAAGATATTACCAATGTAGTGATGTGTCAGCCACACTTCACAGAGTGTGTTGGTCTAAAGCCACTCACTTGATTAGCAGTTATATAATGACATGCATTTAACTTGATGCCATTTCAGTTTAAGGAGGCATCATAGAAATTCCTCTTTTGAATTACTAGAGGCACGTATGAAATTAGTTTCATCACATTTTAGTTTATATTCATTATATTTCACTATATTTTAGTGCAAAATATTTTCTGCACAAGATGGTACTCTCATGCTTGAATGCCTACCTTATTCGAAAGGCCTGATTCTAGGTGACCCTTGGCTCTTTCAAAAAAATCAGTCTGCTCTGAAAAGATTAAGTTCTGTTACCTATGAAGATCAAGGGCTATTTTAGTTGCCAGTGACAGAAACCTAATTCACATCACCTTAAGCAAAGGTGCTGGTTGAGCAGGCAGGACATGTTAGAACTAGAGACCCACCTGACTTTGGGAAGGTGTTGGGAGTGGGGAACATGGGTAAGAGGGTAAAATGAGGATGGTGTGCAGACTCTCCTGGAAGGAAGAGCTGGCAGGCAAGGCAACTACCTGGAGAGTGTGGGACAAGCAAAGAGATAGTCGAGGCAGGTGATTTGTACCAGGGAAGTTCGGCAAGATGTGATCAGGTGGAAGTCCTGGCAGCTGAGTGGGGAATGACCAGGGAGTAAGGAGTAGGGAGGTAGATAAAGTAGAGAATGTTAGCTTGAATCGGGGCTTCACTTATAGTTGGATCTAGATCCTCAAAATATGGATTCAAGTATCGAGGGTTTTTTCCATCTCTCAGCTCTGCTTTCCTCCATGTTAGCTTCACTACTAGGCAGACTCATGAGGAACAAGATGGCAGCCACCAATGTAGTAACCCCCAAACTGAGTCTCATTGGTCTGGCTTGGGTCAAGGCCAATCTTTTACCTAATCATTGTGGCCAGAGATTCCCTGTTTGGCCAGGACTAGGCTATATGTCCATCTCTGGAGACAGGGATGAGGTTTCAGCTACCTGAAGCACAATGGTTCCCCAAAGTGAAACTGAGGCACTGTTCCCAGCAGCAAGGGAGCAAAAAGGACTAGGCAGGGGAAATTCAACCTGTCTTCTGTATATCTGACAATACTTATCCTGTCAGATTGCTGACAGGAAGGGAACTCACACACTGGATTTTTTTCCCCCGAAGGGGATTTTTTTCTAAAATGAATAAAGCAAACAATTTTATTCCAAAATATTTGAGTAAGCAAACCATGTCTATTCCTTTTTGGGAAAATATCAGAGAGAAACTCAGTGTTATAGATGGTAGTTAGGTCTAATTGCAGTCATAGGAATCGTGTTTTTTACTTCAAGATTGCCTGTTAATAAAAATTTTCCATTAGCTCTATTGAACCTGCATACCGTTAACCTTGATTTAAAGTCACAATTATTTAGTCTACAAGGAGCCAAATTTTCTACAGATGCATAAAGTTTAAAGAGAGAAATGCTGGCAACCTTTTGTCCCTTGGTCAATTACTAAAGGCTGGAATCGGAGTCGTTTGCTACAGAATTGTCCAAATATCACAGAGCAAAGCAGTTCAGTCTTTATTACGACTTCTATTAACTCGCTTGACTTTTAACCAAGATGTTCCACATCAAGTCTCTTTACAGAAAAGGGTTTTGGAATCTGCTGTGCCTTTCTATTTATAGCTCATATTTTCACTTATTTATTACCACGGAACAATTTTAGAGTAAGAAAGTTTATAAGTGCAGCTGTTTCTCCATTGACCTGTTCCTTTGACTTAAAGAAAGCTTCCTCTGCTTCTCCCTCAGTGTAATTAGGCTCCTTTCTCATATTTTTGTTAGTATGCTGTGTCAGTATGAGGCATTGTATACAATGAGCGTTCAATAAATGTCACTAATTAATGACTCAGCACAGGATCAACATGTTTTGCATTATGCCACCATTCACTGAAGCACTGTGGAATCATTTCTGAAACAACTTGGAGCTCTGCCAAGATCTAGATATTTGGGCATTTTACCAGAGACTTGGGAAATTCCAAAAGTGAGATTTTTAAAAAATACGGCTTCCTTTTTTTTTTTAAATCAAAACATAACAGCTACTTTTGTTTGTTAATGCTCAAAATATAAAGTGGAGCACAATTAATAAAATGAAGTTTATTTAGAAAGACTGTTAAACTATCTAGTTGTTGATAGCTTTGGCACTCTAGATTTCAACATCTGACTGCAGAGAAATATCTCTGATGCATATAATCCATATATAACTTGTGTGATCATGTAGGTGGAACAAATTCTGCCCTTTCTCATTTTACATTTCTCCTCTGCAGGGCTGATACAGTAACAAGTGTATTTATCATTTTCAGAATATCATAGAAAACACAGAACCGGCCAGGAAGCCAGACTCTTGTCCTGCCCCCGCACCCTACTGGCCTCTGTGAAGGTGATAAATGGCTGCCATCCGCATAGCATTCAGGAACTGAAAAGTTCAAGGGCATGGAGGCCTTATTTGTGTCAGCCCCTTCCTTTGGTAGCTTGTAGGAAAACTGTTAGAATGGGAAGAGAGAGGAGGGAGGAGAGAGAGTTGGCTGGATACCACGGCCAGATGTCCAGAAACCAAATCATAATAGCCTTTTCAACTGGTGTCCTTGAATTCCTTGAGCTATTCATGAAATTCTTATAACCTTGAATATCTGTTTATGTCATCAGTGTCAGTTCAAATCATGGATTCCACGGACAGCTTGATAAATGATCTTCAATTTTATCACAGACAAATGCAGTACGGTTCAATCAGTTGTTTTGCTTATGTGAACATTTTGGAATTGTGTCCATAAATCTATTTCTAGTTAAATATTCAGAGCGTTGGTGTACCAATTTTCACAAGTTTGTGCTTTGGTTGTATCTGTATTTTGCCCCAAATGCCTCCCCCCAACAGGCAGACAAATAAACCTGAGGCAGAAATATTGTGTGTTTGGTTACTTGGTTCTTTCTTGTCACAGGCAACTAACTACTGTATCCAGATAAGTTCCTGCTGACACTACTGTGATGCCTGCCAGAGAAACTGTCTAATGTCACATTAACGCAGCAAAAATGATGAACAATCCCTGCTCCAAGGCCTCCTTCACTCAAGGCTCCAGTGGCATGTTGACTCTTGGCATTTACACTTGTTTGCTTATTGAACGGTGTCAGGTTTCTATGGCTCCGAGTGCTGGCTCACATTACAGTCAAGTGGAAGCAAGAAAATTCAGGCAAGCCTTCATGGAAAGATAGACCTGCCACATTTTCAGGTTTCTTGGTAAATGGACAGAGAAAAGGAGGATGATGTAATCTCTCTCCTTTTCCAAGATTTTGACAGAAAAAAGTTGTGGAGTTGGGGATGGGGGGGCGGTCATGTTAGAACTGGAGATCAGACCTGCCTCCGCGTCTGGGAAGGTGATGGTGGGGGTCCTGCTGGTAGGAGAGGAGGGATGAGGACAGTGTGCGGGCCCAGTGTGGGGAAGGAGAGGTAGCAGATGGTCACAGCACCTGAAGAATCTAGGGACAGGAAGGTGGCATTCAAGACAAGTAATCCTCAGTAGAAAGGTGAGATTAGGTATGAGCAAGCGAACGTCCTGGCAGATGGGCTAAGCTTGACCAGAAGCAATGGGAAAGAATGGATGAGGTAGTCAGGATCAAGAGCGCTGGTCAACCAAAGTCATGGCACCATCTGGGATTAAGGGGTAGACCCTAACCTTGGGAGTAAGAGATTACAAGGAGAGCGGTAAGATGGAAGAAGGACAGTGATTAAATTCACAAGCAATCGAATTACAACAGTGGGTTGGTCACAGAAGAGTGGGGAAGAGGGAACTAATATTCATGGACTGCCTCCCACATGCACATCAGACACTGAGCTGGGGTATAGATTTTCTTCATTCATTTATTCAACAAGTTCTTCTTTTTTTTGTTTTGAGGAATATCAGCCCTGAGCTAACATCCGGCACCCATGCTCCTCTTTTTCTTGCTGAGGAAGTGTGGCCCTGGGCTAACACCTGTGCCCATCTTCCTCCGTTTTATATGTGGGACGTCTGCCACAGCAGGGCTTGATAAGCAGTGCGTAGGTGTGTGCCCAGGATCTGAACTGGCGAAACCCAGGCCGCCAAAGCAGAACACACAAACTTAACTGCTATGTCACCGGGCCAGCCCCTCAACAAGTTTTAAATGAGCACCTTCTATGTGTCAGGCACTGTTCTAGGCACAAGGGACAGAGCAGTGAAAAAAACAAAATCCGTGCCCGCTTGGACCTTACATTCTCTGCTAGGAGACAGACAAGCACAAAATAAATAAACTTTATACTAGATGAGAGGGTGATAAGTGCTCTGGAGAAAAATAAAGCAAGGTAGAGAGATAGGGAATGTGCAGGAGCAGAATTTTAAGTAAGGAGGCCAGGGAAAGCCTCTTTGAGAAGGTGACATTTGGGCAAATCCTTGAAGGAGGTGAACTTTCAGATACCTAGGGGAAGAGCTTTACAGGCAGAGGAAACAGCAGGTGCAGACGTCGTGGGTGCCAGCGTGCCTGGTGCAGTCAAAGGACAGCAAGGAGACCAGAGCAGCTGGATTCATACAAGTGGGGGCGGAATAGAAGATGTGAGAGGAAGGAGGCTGGGGCTGGAGGTGAGAGAATCCTCTAGGCCAGCGGTTCTCAGTGGGGGTCAATGTGGTCCTAGGGGACATTTGACAATGTCTGGAGATATTTTTGGTTGTCACAATTAGGGGCAGTTTGTCCTAACTGAGACTTTAAACAATTCAAAATGGGCTCTTTACATGCACAGGAAGCTCCCATCTGGGCAAATAGTGGGTGGCTGGCACATGGGACCGTGGCATTGGATTTCAAACTGGTCTCTGTAAATGGAAGTAGTCAGAAAAAAACAGATATGAAGTTGTTTTGTAAAACCTATTACTGAAGTATAACATACATAAAGAACAACGTACATATCATAAACGTACATATTGATGAATATTCATAAGCAAAACACCAATAGGTAAGTAGCACCCAGATCAAGAAACGGAACATTTTTAGCATCCTGAAAGCCCCCCGCCACCTCTTCCAATCACTACCCTTCCGAGAGTAGCCACTATCCTGACTTTTAATATCATAAATTAGTTTTGCCAGTTTGGGAACTTTTTATAAATGGAATCACATCCCACGGACTTCTTTCCCTCAACACGATGTTTGTGAGATTCAACCATATTGTTGTGTAAAGTTGTAGATCATTCATTCTTATTGTTATAGAATATGCCATTGTGTGAATATAAAACAGTTGGTCTATTCTACTTGGATGAGCATTTGGATAGTTTCCAGTTTTAGGCTATTATGAATAGCGCTGCTTTGAAATTTTCAGTGTATGCCTTTTGGTGAACGCATGCACACATTTCTGTAAGGTATACATCTAGGAGTGGAATTGCAGGCTTGTAAGAGAGAAAAGAAGTCTTAATAAGATGAAATGTAGCATAATAGAGGTAGACCAATAAACAATTCATATAAATATGATAGAAAAAGTTTGGATAGATTCAATAATAAAAGAAGGCCAGAGGCTGGCCCTGTGGCCGAGTGGTTAAGTTCATGCGCTCCGCTTTGGTGGCCCGGGTCTCGCTGGTTCGGATCCTGGGCGCAGACATGGCACCGCTCATCAGGTCATGTTGAGGCAGCATTCCATATAGTACAATCAGAGGCACTCACGACTATAATATACAACTACGTACCAGGGAGCTTTGGGGAGAAGAAAAAAATAAAAGTCCAGAGCTCAGAATAGAAAAGGCTACAACAGCAAGGATGCAAAGTAGAATGTAGTCTAAGCTAAAGAGAATGATGTCGTGTGTAGATAGGCATGTAACTTAACAGAAATCAGGTACCAGCTGTGTGGGGTAGTAAAGGGCTTGGGTAGGAGCCAAGAAGACCTGAGTTTGAACCTTGCTCTACCAAATATGACTGTGTGTCTTGGGTGCATCACATGACAGCTCAAAGCTTTGGCTTTCCATTGCAGGGAATATAGGTTGTGAAGATTAAATTCATTCATTCAACACCTATTGATTGAATACCTACCTCTGTGCAGGGTACTGGGGATTCAGTGGGGAACAAAAAAGAAGAGTCTTTGCCCTCACTGATTTTACCGGGAAGGAATTCAGTGAACAAGGATCAATTAATTACAATTATTGTAAGGGGAATGATCTAACCTAGTCTGGGGGTCAGGGATCCTTCTCTGAGGCCAACTAGACACGAGCCAGGCCAAGAGTTGGGGGTGAGAAATTACAGGCAGATGAAATAGCACGAGGGAAATCTAAAGAGGGAAGGAGCTTGGCAGGTATGAGGAAAAGAGACAGTGAGGTGCAAAAAGAATGGAAAGGGAAGAGGGCAGAGAGACGAGATGGAGGGGCAGGCAGGGCCTCTAAGTGATGAGATTCACATTAATTGATTTTTAAGGATTTTAAACTGAAGGCATGGAAAGGGCTGGAAAATGGAGTAGAAGTGGTGACAGAATCCAGTAAGTGCAAAAATATAGATTGATTTGTGAATTTGCATTTCAGTGTTCATCCATGAATTCATTTACATTTATGGGCTGTAGGACTACCAAGGAATCTGGTAATGTCCAAAATTATTTGGGTATCAATAACTGTTGTATGAATGAATACATAAATAGTAATTTACAAGGTTAACACAACTTGAAAAAAAACCCTGTTTAAAATTATTTAATTCCCTTTGCTCTGATATTAGCTTAGTTCTTCAAGCAGATTTCCATTCTGGGAACAGTAGCCAACATTTGTTGTGTTACTGTGCACCAACTTCCATTCTAAGCAGTAGATAACAAGTGTATTCTCTCATTTAATCCTCATCACAACAACCCAGGGAGGTACGTTTTATTATTATGCTTGTTTTACTGATGGGGAAGTAGACACTGAAAGGCACCCTGAGCCACTTGTCCGAGATCACCTGGTTAGTAAGCACAGAGTCAGGATTCACACTCAGGCAGTCTGATTCCAGCCCACTAGCCCTCCCTGCCTACTCTCTCTCTTTTTTTTTTTTTTTTAAATTGGCACCTGAGCTAACATCTGTTGCCAGTCTTCTTTTTCTTCTTCTTCTTCTTCTCCCCAAAGCCCCCCAGTACATAGTTGTATATTTCAGTTGTGGGTCCCTCTAGTTGTGGCATGTGGACACCACCTCAGCATGGCCTGATGAGCAGTGCTAGGTCCATGCCCTGGATCCAAACCAGCAAAACCCTGGGCCGCCGAAGCGGAGTGCACGAACTTAACCACCTGGCCACGGGGCAGGCCCCTGCCTGACTACTCTTTACGGCCTCCAGAAAGAGGTCACAAACAAGTCAACACAAACATCTGGTTGGTTTGATTGCTCCACTTCTCATTTTAAATTAATAAATTGGTGTTGTGCATTCCACATTAATTTTGTGTGTTGGTTGGCATGACTTGATTCTCTAGGGCTTCATGCGCTAATAGTGGACTAAGAAGGCCGAGCTTCCAAACCTGCAGATCCAGCAGTGGATCAATGACTGGATCTCAGGGGAGTGATACCTCTTGAGGAGGTAAGCAGGGTCCAAACCCTGCAGGCCTTGTAGACAATGGAAATGTTTTGGATTGTTCTCTTGATGCAGAGGGAAGGGATACCAGTGGTTAGGAGATGGTCGCAATAGTCTGGGGGAGACTATAGGCCACTTAGACCGGTGTGAGTGCAGTTAAAATGGAGATGAAATGAGATCTTAAGTAAAAGGCCTTCGAAAATGCTTGGCACATAGTAGGTACATTGTAAGGGGCGGCTATTGCTCATAACAAAGGCAAGTTCCTTTCAATTTAGCAGGTCACATTTCATGGATTGGAAACTGCTGTCTAAAGCAAGGTGTTGAGAAAGATTCAGAACCTCTTTCACACCCGCTCGGAAAGAGTGCTGTGATGGATTGGAGATGTCTGCTATGAGCTCTGGAGAGGCAGCTGGTGGCACACATGCTGAGGAGAGATTTAACAATGATTTTCAAGTACAGACAAGATTCTCACAGAGATGATTTTGAGTTGTTTTTCTCAATATAAAAATAACAAAAATGTAACACAAAATATGTAATATAAAAAGATAAGTAGGCTTAAACTATAAAAAGATTTTTTTATTAGAAAAAAGCAATACTGAGGGATGGTGGATTATAGAAACTTACTGAATTGACCTTGGGTTTGGAAATATTCATAGACAGTACATTGCCAACAAAGGGTTCCACAGGTAAGTTAGTTTAACTTAGGTTGAATACTTCATCCCCTTAGTAGAGATCCATGATGCATGTTAACATGCTAAAGGTTCAGAAAAGGAAGCACGTTAAAAGAAACCTCTTTAATCTTGTTGCACCCAGAATTAAATTGATTTGACTGTGGAATCATCCTGTTTCTACATTACATTGCTGTATCTATTCTATTCTACCTTGATACCGTGTCATAATAATATTATGCTGTGCTACAAAATTTGTAATGCTATATTTTGTTGGTGCTGGCTTTTGTGGAGCTCAATCAGTGGGAGAAAGAGAGAGAGGGAAGAGGAGACCAGTACGCAGTGTGTTTGTTTTTAGAGAACCATTCTCACTTAAAGATAATTGATTGTATATATGGCAACTTTTCTCTGAATCTGATGACTGACTTTGTGACTGACAATATTGAACCTTCGGCTGATGGAGATCAATTCCTAGCCTGAACCCATGTTCTGAAGTTGCTTGCATTTGGATTACCCAGCAGACACACAGATTCCACAGATGTGGGCCAGTCACAGAACACTAGGGCTTATTCATTTTAAAAGTTTCCAATTTTCAATTCAGTGCTCGGTACATAAAAGACACTCCACAAATATCTTTTGGATAAGTGAATGAATACAGAAATGAATGAATAATTATGGTCGCTATTTGTCCTCAGAAGGAAAGGTAATTATGAGACGAGTAAGTGTTGCACCAAATCTAG